TGGTTGATTCCAGAGGTTCCTCAGGGGACTTGCTTAAACATTAGAGCAACTGAGACCTGACCAGTGAGGAACTGAGTTGAAATACTGGTCTTGCAGTCTTTGGCCAGAAGTCCTCTACCGTGGGATTTGGCAGTACTTTTTCATGTTTAGATCTGTGAAATGAGCCATTTTAAACCTAGTTTAATGTAGGCTGAAGTGCAGCGGTTTGTTCAGATCTGTAACAGTTCTTTGCTTGGATTCTTTCATGGCTGTCCTGATCCAGCTTTCCATGGCTGTGAGCATGGGGCTGCCCTACAGGCGCTTTCCTCTGTTACATGGTTCAAGAGTGGGACTCTGCAATAACAGTTGACATAGTCAAAGGCAGTTCATAACCCAGTTTGAACTCTGCAGGGTTGCAAAATATGTCTGACTTCAGAACAATTATTTCCTATCCTAATTATTAATTTTCTGTTTTATCTTTTTCTCCAGGTGGCTGTGGACAGAAGCTGGTGCTCAGTCAGATCTTGAGAGCTCTTTGGGGATTGGAGGCTTTGGGTATCCAGCAATGGCAGCTGTTAATGCTCGGAAGATGAAATTTGCTCTTCTGAAAGGATCATTCAGTGAACAAGGAATTAATGAGTTTCTCAGGTATGAAATCTTCAAGTGACTTCAATCTTTCTGTAACTAGGGCTGTGACTCTTTAGCGTAAAATCAGGTTTTCCTGAATCAGATGAGATGGGATTTATTTCTCTTAACTCTGAAGAGATTTAAGATGACAAGCATTCACTGAAGTTGCAGTGACGGTTGCAACTAGTAAAGCAGTCACTATCTTTTTGCAATGGAGAGAATTAAGAAGTTGGCCATTTAGACCTAAGCGGTAGTTTTAGCACATCTTCTGAAAACGGTTTGAAAACAGAAGTGAACTTTGATCTTGAAAAATTCTGGTTCTCTGGTAACACAAGAAATTAATGGGCTTTGGTAATCAATAGTATTTAATTCAAACAGTGCATTGTGATTAGTAATTAGTAGTTAGAGTTCTCAGCTTGAAACTCTAAATGGGTGCTGTTGAGGTTCTTGAGGTTTTGTATGTTGCTGTTCATGTTTCTGGTTTGGTGTGGTCCTGTCTTACCCCTCCCACTCTTCCCTTCCCCATTCCCCTGGCATCTGATAAACTGATACGGGGAGCTAAAGCAATCCATCCAAAAAGTCAGTATCTCTCTGCTCAGCTCAAGTTCCCTGAAACTGCCTCTTGCACAGCTGGGCAAGAGCCAGTGGTGAGAAGAATTGGATGGGGAAAGGAAATGGAGAGGAGGACAGAAGGTAGCAGCAGTACTGAAACAAAACATCTAAACTTAACCTGGTCAAAGTGAGTTGGGAACTCTACTTCTGAGTTAAACACCAGCTGCCATTAGGTGTGTAAGAGCCTTTGAGAGCTTACATTAGCAGTGTTATTTCCATGTTCTTGCTTGGAGAATGGCAGCAGGGACTCAGAATTGCAGAACCCAATACAACAGTCTCCCCACCTTGTAAGAAACATTAACTAACCCCTGTTTCTGCTGGGTTAAGGGAAACAGCACTGCATTCTTACCTGTGTAAGTGATCAGACTCCCTTCTCAATGCCAAAAAGGGAATGTTCTCAGAGAATCAAGTAAAATCTAGGATTCAGCTGCAAGAAGAATAATACTAATGCATGAAAAAGAAATGTCTACCTTTCTCAGACTTGGCAAATTCTCTTAGTCTGTAAAATACATCTCAGTGAAGCCTTTCCTGGTGAAGGTGGATGGTGTTTGCAGGACGCAACAACCAACTTAACAGATTGTATTGCATCATTGGTTTGGTATTGTCTTACTACAGAGCAGTACTTGCTAGAATACTCTTACTTGACACTTCAGCTCAGCTGTCCTGCTTAGAGAAAGCAGTACAATTATGGTTAGTGTAGCTGGCTGTTAGCTCAGCTTGCTGTGTGCAGCTTTTGTAATCTAATAGGCAGTCTCAACAGTGTGACCAAAAGTAAGGACTAAAGCACTGGGAAGAATAGAAAAAGTAGACGCCACCTAGGGAGGAATGTTTTTTCAATCTTATTTGGCCTCAAGAATGCAAAGGGATTGGCTCTTCAGGATTTTAATGTTAGGCTTTTTGAGCAAGCCTAACTGGCAAGTGGAAGATGGAGTGTCCCAAAACAGAAGCTGGTTTCCTTGTACCCATTGTAAGCTGTGGAGATGGCTTAGTCTCCAATAAAAAAAGACCACTAGCAATTTCAATAATCAGTTGCAGCTGACTTCCAGAAGTAGAATTATAGACTCCTCTTGGAGTTGCCTCAAGTGATAAACAGCATACTGCTAAAGGGGCTGTATTTGTCCAGGATGGTTACACTGCTGAAATAGGAATCAGTGCAGCTGACAGTTTCTCCTTGGATCCAGTTGTACATTTGCAATGCTGCTTTAAGGGCTTTATCACTATCTGCTTCTCATTTTGAAAAGCTTTTGCTTCTAGACAGGGAAGATGTGCTTCATGAGATGAGATTTCAGAGTTGACTTCTTTATCTGAGGCAGGTACTGTTCCAGGTGGATTGAGAACGGAGACATTTCTTACATTTACCTTGTTGTTTTGTTTTCTCAGGGAACTCTCCGTTGGTCGTGGCTCTACTGCACCAGTGAGTGGTGGAGCTTTTCCTAAAATTCATTCAGTTGAACCTTGGGATGGTAAAGATGGAGAGGTAAGAGGTGCTCCATCTCTAAAAGTGCTGATGATTTGCTACATTCAGAGGTGACAGGCTAGAGTAATTAAGAACTGACAATGTGAAAATTCGTTCTTCAAAGATTGTGGCAGGTTGTGTTTGATTTCCCATTATCTAAATCCTGCCACCAGGCCAAACACCAGATTCATTGTCTGACATTGTGGGCAGATACTCCTGCCTAACTGTTAGGATGTAACCTGGAAGTTGAATCAGTTGAGGCTGAGATGTGTTATTATCTGTGCTGAGGGAGGGAGATGGCAGTGTATGCATTCAAGACCCAAATGTTGTGGAGACTTTGGTTCTGCAATATGCTGACCTTACCATCCAAGTCTTAATGTCAGAAAGTTTGTAAGGTAAAGCCTGTGTAATAAATAGCACAGCAATTAATTATGTTCTTAAGATTCAGCATTTCTGTAACAAAGTGACTACAATCCTTGATCTACTTCAGGTGGAAAAAAACCTTCTATTGTAAACTGATCACTTGTCCTGTGCTTAATACACTTGAGTTTTTATGAATGCAGGAGATGACAGATGGGAGCTTGACTCTCAGGATGAAGTAAGCATCTTTCAAAATTAGTGATGTGCTGGTGCTGGGTGCTTCAAAACCTTCTCTTTTTCACAGCTTCCAGTTGAAGATGATATTGATCTCAGTGATGTGGATCTGGATGACTGGGATAAAGACGAGCTGTGAGATTTTCAGGAAACTTCTTTTCTTGGGAGAGTTTGCACAGCAGTTGGATGGATATTCCAGTGGCCTTTTTGTGGAGAAATAGCACATGACATGCTGTGCTATTCCGTGCACTGCAGCAGCGAACTGTACACATCTCAAGAAAACATTGCAGAAATTCTATGAATTGTCATAACCAGTAAACCTGATTGTATTCTGTGTAACAAATATTTTGAGGACACCATGGATATTTCTTTGGAACATCTTGGGTTTTATTTTGTGGGTAGTGTACTGTTTGAGTGTTACTGGAAGCTGTTAGTGTAACCAATTTTAAATGTGATTTATTTTTTTTTCATGGAGGTGGAACCTGGTCAGCTTCTGTTTCAATTAAAAAATAAAGATATTTTTGACACACAGTGTTAGTCTTGTATAGAGTAACAGAGGTGCACATGATGAAAGCTATCCCATTTTGGATTGTAGAATTGAGAGGCTGGTGCAGAGGGGAGTCCTAAATCACCCCCTTGCAGGGAATGATATAGACAGTTTGGCCTAAAGCCTGATTACACAGACAATCTTAGTTGAAATGCTCTTTAGTCTTCCTTTTCCTATTCCTTCTCAGGGGCACTTTCTTTCTTTGTGCCAGGCTTTGTAAGATGATTAATGTAACGGAAGTGCGGTTGCTGCTGCAGTGGGAGACATTGGGAGCTGCTGGTCTTTTCCCCAGGGTTAGCAGTGAAGCTAATCACCTTTTTAGAGCATGAGGATTTCCAGGTGCTAACAGAAAAACACCATGGTGCCGTCTCCAGCAAATTGGATCTAATGTTTCTTCACTTCCCATCTGGCATTGTTTAGATTTGAAATTGCTATTTCCTTGGAAGGGAATCAGGACTGGGAATAAGGATGGTCACTGCTGCTTTTTTAATAAAAATACTCTTACATTTTGTTGCTCACCATGTCTTCCGTACTGGTCTCTAGTGAAGTGGCCCTCATGTGACAGGATAAGGAATGTAAAAACTTTTCTTTCAAGGAAATAATATGGATATTTGTCAGGTAGTGTTTGTAAGAGACTGCCCATACCTCATGCCTATGGAAAGCAGTGTAAGAGCCACTGGTAGCCAGCCAGCAGTAACCTGACTGCTGATTTGGGGCAGGAAGTGTGCAGGAAGCTGGGGCTCAAAGTCATACTACACAAAGCTCCACAGCAATCTTAAGCTTTTCCTTTTTTTAAATTATAATAGAGCTTGGGTTTTGTTCTTATGCTTTCTACTTTTTTTTTCTAAGTTTGCTTTGTTAGGAAAAACAGGATTGTATGCACCTAGTAGATCCATTAGCCACCACCACACTTTTAAAATTGTTTTATTTCAAGTCCAATAGCTATTCCATCTTTGTAACATACCAAAAAAAAAAATAAAATACTACCATAGTACCTCCTGCCTCTGAAATATGTTTTTGTAAAACTATGAAGTCACTGTAAAAATTACTGGAAGCGGTAGGAAGATCTTGGGCAATTATCCTGCTACAGCATCTGCATTTTAATTTTACTTTCAGCAGCTAAAGATTGTTTTACTGTAACATTAGGGTCTTGAAAATTAATAAATGAAGCCTGAGCTATTTTTTTTAACTGCAGTCAAGAAGACTGAGGTCAATCTTGAAATAGACGTAAGGATAGTATTCTTGATTACTCAGTTGTAAACCAGGGATGTCCATGCCAGGCTGCAAAAGGAAACAATATAACTTTAGTACCAGAAAACAAACTTGCACAATTCCAAGCTACAGTGGATTGATTTTGTGCTTTGCAGGTGGAATGGAGTTTTGTATTTGCTGTGCTCAAGCTAGGGAATTCACCACTGAGTACTTGGTGTTTGCTTGGTGTTTTCAGGCTGCCTAATGCAGTTAGCATTGAGAATTCAAACTTGGCTGTTGCAAGTTAATGAACATGTAGCATTCTTGTGTGCTTCAGCTGTACAGCAACTTGGTTTCTTCTCCCTTCATGCACTGGAAATCCTATGCCTGCTGGTTTGAGGCTGTCTTAAAAAGCCTACTGGTTTATCCTAAATCACTTGTGCACTCAAGATATGGGGAAGGAGAAGGCAAGTACTGCTGCTTGCTTAAGTCCTAGTTAGAGGTATTTAGTCGATGACAGCCTTTTACAGGGGACAGAGGTGTCAGTTCTAGCATTTAGTTCTGAATTAATTTTTCTTGTGTTGATCTGAATGTTTACAGAAAACTTGGCCCTTTTTACCTAGAGGAGCTGATATAATTGAGCAGACCTGTTTCAGTCTAGTAGCTGTAAACTTCAGATGCTCCAACTGAAAATGTAAGCAATGTCTACACATCTCCATCATAATCTGAGCCTACCTGTTACCCCAATCCAATCTGTAACCACCAGGGATTAAAGCTGCAACCAGGGCTCTTAGCGTTGCAGGGTGTGAGGAATTGCTCTATTCTCTGGATAGTGAAACTGATCACTTGGCTAAACTGAGACAAGCTGCAGCACATGCAGTCATAGTCCAAATACATACATCCATTATACTTGCTGCTGCGACTTCATCCAGGTGTTTGAAGACCACGTTTAGGACATCTCTCAGGCGTTTCACAGATTTCCTGTTTGGCTGCAGCAGCATTGCTTGGAAATTAACTGGAAGGCCATACCTTGAAAGAAAGAGGTCAACATACATATCATATCCTGTGTGGGGGCACACCTTTCCATTCCTGCCTCTTCTCTCTCCTGGCACACTAGCTGATAGTGCGCTGCAGTGCACCATCTCAGTGGTGGGGTGCTGCCTCCTTACCTAAAAGCATTTTCTGAGCTGAAAGTCAACTAAATAGTGTATTTATGTTTTCCATTTCCCTGTTAATGCCCCAAAGTGAACTGATTTTTATCAATTTTGTATGTCACCTTTTTTGTGGTCATCTGTATTGTCTCCTGTGAGCTTTTGCAGAGTGGTGTGTAAGGGATGTTCCCTCCCACAAAGAAACTGCCTCGGGAAGAGGGCTGTACATTTTTACTTCTCCAGGAACTTCTGCTGGCACTGTATGTTTACCCACTTACCTCAGGACAGATTCAACAAAAACTCTCAAGGCTTTCACGTGAATCCAAGCCACAAATGCTTCACTGAAGTTCACTTTCAGCCAGCGCAGTAACGGGCCCTGTGAAAACAGACACAAGGGTATTGTGATCCCCTTGCTGTGTGAAGCTGCTCCACAGCTACCACCACTGAAGCCTTCGTGGGCTGTTGAGATAGTTCTCAGGCATGCTGCTAGGGGCTCCCAGTTTATGAGAAACTCAAGTGAGCTTGGGCAAGTTGTGTTACCTATCCTGTCCCTCTATTTTCTGGGCTAAAGGGAGCTCAGAGGAATCTGCTGGAACCATAAAGCCATAGCTCAGTGAGAGGTGTGTAGGCACGCCGGTAGCAAAGGCCAGCATGTGGGCCATCAACTCGATGTGCTACTTACATACTGTTGTTTCTTATCAGAAGCTAACTTCATCAGCTCCTCCTTCTCACACTTCAGTTCCTTCTCATCAAAATAAAATTCTCGAACCATGAACCTAGAATTGAATGACATTTCCTCTCACAAGCCATAGTCCAAGAAATATGCACACCCATTTCTTTTCCCTCTTGAGAAGCAGGTACAGGATGTTTCAAAGTTGCTTGCCATATCACTGGTTATGGTCTGTGGAGGGTGGGAGTTGAAGTTGCCCCCAGAAGGCAAGCTTCCTGCTGTCAGTTGCATGACATCAGGAAGGACAACTCCAGGACCTGTAGTTTGCTGTGTTAACAAGATCACTGTATCTGCTGCCACAGCTCCTTCCCACCCTGCCTTCTCAGTGGCTTTAGGGCCAGCAACAGCCCAACCAGTGAAGAAGTCCTAAAAAACAGTGAAGCATTCAGCTGTGCCGAAACAAGCCTCATATCCACATTATCTGTTTGCCAGCCTGGCCTACCTAGCAATTGGTGCTTCTTACCTGTTCTCCCTGGCTTTAGCCTTGAAGTCATCCATCACTTTTCTAAATAGGGTCACAGTGAAGAGTCCTCCCTCGGCATCCTCAGCAATCATTCTGTGGGAGAGAAATCCACTGCTGTGATTTGACAAAGCACATCCCTCATGCTTTCTTTACCTTCCCCTTTTGCAGTTCTTTTTTTCACTTATGATATTGAGCAACACCTTCCTTTTCAAGAACTCCCGTGACTGCAAGCAGGAACAAAGACTTTCCTAGCACCAGCCACACTAGCTTCAGTGTAAAACTCCCATGAATTAAGTTCCTGAACCTATCATAATACACACTCTGCCTGCCTGATTTCTCTTTGCCTTGTGGTAACATTTCCCCACTGTCCGTGCACATGTGTTTTTGAGACAGGCAGTAGCTTGCTTCTTTCTCTGTGGCTTCTGCTTCTTCCATTTCAGATATTAGCACTGTCACCTCTTGTGCCCTCAATTTGACCTCATGATCTCTGGGAGCTGAGCAACAGAATATTTAATTCCTAGGAAGGATTTTTTCCCTCCAGGTGAAAAGTTAATATGGCATTTGCTAATGCAAATGACAGTACACTTAATTACCCTATCCTACAGCAGGAAGCAATTAAAGATGCAAAGATCTTAGTAAAAAATAGTTCTCATAAATTGGTATGTGACTGCATGTGTCTGAATTATGCCTGGATTATGTAACAAACTGTCTGTTTTACCCAAAAAATGAAGGCCCTGGCTGAAAGTAGAAAGAATTAGATTACTGGGAAACGGAACAACAGCTAATTGTAAAAAAAACTGTATTATTTTTTCCTAACATTTGCAGGTCCCTTCAACAGAGTAATTTCTGATTTTGGCAAATCTATATGTTAACATGCAGCCCATGCACTAGAAAAGTGATTCCTTCCAGAATACAGCAATTTGAGTGGCTGAAATATGGCAGGGATGTCTGAAACAAAAATGAACCTTAATTTGGAATTTCACTTACTTAGTGGAGCGAGGCACTACCATATCAGAGAGGGATTCATAGGTCTTCTGCCACTGTACATAGCTTGACCTTTGAGCAACACAAAGCAAAACACAGTAAATAAATACTATATACTAGAAAGCAAATGTGTTGATAAATATTGTTAATTAAGTTAATGGCTTATGGCAGAAGGGTTGGAGCTCTTTTTGCTTCATTATGAGATTAAGACACCTTAAGCCTCTCCTGTCCTCTCCTCTCTTAGTCACCAGCTAGGGAAATGTTTCCCTCAGTGCTGCAACCCTCAATCCTTACTTTGTGTCTTGGCACAAAGAATGACCCAGAGCAGGAACCTGATGGTGGGAAGAACATGGCTTTTGGCACATATTTCCAGGTTGCCATACAGTGTCCCACACTCCAGGACCCCTGCACAAGCTGCCCCTGACCCATGGTCTGGCGTGGTACATCTGCTATGTGCAGTCTGAGCTGATCTGGTGCTACACTGCAAACATGCAAGTGCCAGCACTGGGAGAAAGGGAATGGTAAAGTTTGCAAATTTGTTCTGTTTATAGAGGGAATCTGAAAGAACGTGCACATGATAAACTCAACAAACTTATCTCATACAGCTTTTTGTAACACAGTTTTCACAGAAAAGTGATGGTACTGATATGTGTGTGTGTTGGGACAGGGCTAAATGGAGAGGAAAAGCTTTCTGTAGGCTTCTGAGAAAGACACTGCATAACTTCACAGCAGATGGTGATGGCAGTCATCCTACCTGCAGGCACTTACTGATACATAGAGGCTAGCAGAGGCCTTTTGAGTCCGACAGGTCTAATTACTTCTGTGAAGTGGCAAAGTTCCAGTAAGAATCCGTTTTTCCCTTTTTTAATTCCTACCATTTCTGGTTGGAGAACCCACTATGACAGTTAAACACCTTACATCCTGTTTCTGTCCTGCTCCAAGTTCAGAGCAGTCTTTGTCTCTTGTCCCAGCACTACCCTTGGTAGAAACTATTCTTTCTCTTTGCTAACAGCTCCACTCATGTCCCAGCCGTGGTGCTGATGAGCTGTCCCAGCCTGACCCAGTACTGCCTGGATCTGGCACGTAGACCTGAAACTGAATGCCACATGGAGCACGTGTGCAGGCGCTATTGCCTTACTTTGGCACCACGACGAGCAGTGTGATAAGATACTCAGAATCCAGAACAAAGTCTTCTTTATGCACAATGTCTGCTAGGGTCCGAGTCAGCAGATTTCCCCTGCAGTGAAAAGACAAAGGAAAAATAACATTAGCAGGAACCCAGCAGAAGCACACTGGAGGTATTGTGCTGTCAGTGTAGTTGCTAATAGTGTAGAGGTAGAAGGCCAGGAAGGAGGTGGCTGAAGGACACATCTACACTTCTAAAGCGGCCATTTAGCTAGTTATACCACAACTAAAATCAACAAAAAAGCAACTAATACTAACGGAAGAATATTGCTGACTAGCACTAGGCTAGCTTACATCCTTTCTCTATGTTAAATTACACTGTTCTGCTGCTATTGTTTTTACAGTATGGGTGTAGATGCTTGGGATGTGCACACCTGAAGTTACCACCCTGCTCCCAGTCATTACTGCATCTTGCAGGGAGGCTTCTGCTTTCTCAGGCTGCCTGTTGAGCTGCTAGAGTGACCAAGCTATGTCAGTATGGACCTAAGCCATCAAAGCAACCCCAGCATAACTGGACTGCCATGGATGAGCTCACACAGACAACACCTCCAGCTGAAGGACAGTGGGAGCAGCAGTCTCATGTGAAGTGGAACCTGCAGGATGGGGTCTCTTCACAGCCTAAGCCCACTCGACCACAGTAAGTCCCACGTGTGCTGCACACCCAGGCAGCGTGGATGGCTGGGACTGGGCCAGGCACGGCTGGTAGGTACTACATGTGTATGAGAAGAGAGCAGCTGCCCTCCCAAGGTCTCTGTTCTTTCTCCCTATTACTTTGGTGGAGGCCCCACTGCCATATGGCTCTGCCGACCCTCGGGAGCACTGCAGTCCCCATGTTGAGAAGTACTCCATGAGGGGCAGGATTTTTTGGACAGTCACTCTGAACCACCACCTGGAGTTATTTGTTTCTGTGGTTTCTGGTGTGTTCTGCAGGGTTGATACCAGGCGTGCTCATTTTAGCTCCCCATTCAGAACAACATTCCAACCGCCCAGGGGTTTGGTTTGAGCCCCTGTGAGTATCTTCCTTGGGCAAAGACTGGTTCCTAGCAGGCTGCCAGCCTGGCTACCGTGCCAGGAAGGCGAGGACCTGTGTCCTGTGCCCAGAGCAAGGGACTCGAGTAGAAAACAGTGGCACATATGAGCATGTACTGGGTGAGGGCTTGCACAGCATCATCTAAGTTGCTCTAAATTTACTACTTACTGGAATTTACTATTATCCCCAGTGATAATCTGGAGAAATCTAGGTATCAGCACTGACATAGGCAAGGACCATAAGCAGTTGAAAAGAGGAGAGAGAGCATTTGGGAAGCCCTGACAGATCACCTGGACTAACAGAATGAAACAAAGAAACACCTGCTGGTGAGGCAGGTGCAGTGGAGAAGGTGAATAGATGCCTTTGCATGGAATACCATAAAGCCAGCTTTCTGAACAGCATTGCAGTGATCCTATAGGAAACACCTCCATCTTGCAAAGGAATCCACCGGTTGACTCATAATTTCTGACTTCCTGAAATCTCATCAGAGCAACAAAGTGCATTTGGTTGACTCTTTCCCAAGATAGTCTGCTCACACTGCCAATAAAATCCTATTAAGAATTGCAGTCTCCCTGAGCTGATTCTGAGACATGCCGATCACACCAGCTCCCCTCTCCCCAGTTTTTGCTGGTTCTGTAGATGCTCAGCATGCCCCAAAGCCAGAAAAAAATTGTTTCCAGCAGAACACACATGGTCCACACACAGCAATGAGTGTGAGCATGCACTGTCCTCAGCTCAGCCATGTAGTGTTCCAGATGTGAACAGGCATGTGCTATACTTACACAGTCTTTTTCTCCAGGCTTTGCAAGTTTCCTTTAATGTTGTTGTATGCAGCTGATCGGGTCTTTAGGTCTGCTTCTATTTGAGTCACTTGCTAAAACAAAGTAAAAAAAAAGGAGTCAACTCAGCTCTTGAGGCGTCCTCACCCCCTCCTGCTACCTCTGCACCTTAATGCAAGGACATAGCTGCGTGGCCCTTGTAAAACCACCTGATGGTGGCCCTGAGGGCCCCATGGAAGAGCTCCTGGGTAGCAAAAGCCTCTCCAGAAGGTAGGATGCAGTTAGCTGTTGCTGCGTGTGTTACAGGTGTATCTAGGAAGCAAGTTCGTAGTTTCATTTGTTATATCTATGTTGCCTTCCTGAATGGATTGACAGCATCAGCCTGCAATGCATTTCATTTAATGTCAGGCTAACAATATCACAAAAGAACTCCAAACATTGAGAATAATATGGTAGTATATAAAGCCAATAAATAATACAATCCAGGGGATTTAAGTGCAGAAAACATGTAAATGTACTCTAGTAAATCTGCTAAAGTGTCATATGCTTATAGACTGGCTAAGTTTAAACATATGTATTATTATTATTATAGTAGAAATTAAAATAATGCTTCGGTACAGAGAGTGGGCTTCTGAGCCTGTTGCTGCCCAAACCAAAGGCAAAGCTCTCACTGACTGCCATAAGAGGAGGGACCAAAAACTGCCAAAAGACTTACTTCCCCATGCTGACATTTTCTTAAAATCTGGAGTACAATTTACCTTTGCTAATGCTTCTGATATATTCTTCAGCGGCTGCTTTATGGGATATTTGGCCATGTCCCACTCAAACCGTGTCAGGTAGCTAATTAGGTCAACTGCAAATGCAAAGTGGTACATTAAAGCAGACAGCTTAGCAGATGGCAGGCCAAAGCTTGGGTAGTAGTCCCCAGCTATAACTTAGGCATAACTTCAATTACCACTAAAGATGGGAGTGAACCAGAAGCCCACCTTGTATAAATCCTCATAGAAATGTGATCTAGATCAAATCTGCACCGATCTTATGCCCAATTTAATTGTCTTTCTAAACATCCTCAAATTTTGAAGTTGAACTAGAAATCTTTTCTGCATTACACCTGACAGTATAGAACAAGCATTACTATAACATTAGCTGTATCAGCAGGATACAGCAATGTGCAGACATTCTTCTTTACAGCAGAAAATTTATGTAACCTCAATCTTGATTATTGCCATATGCCTGAATTTAATCCAGGAAAAAGCTATCAGAAAAATACTGGCCCGGGACCAGCAGGGTTATTGAGAGTTTGATCAAAGTTATTAAGAGCATAGCTGATGTTCCCCATTCTGTGATTCAGTCAAACACTCACTGAAATCAAACCAATTCAGGCAAGATAGGGAATTTCTCATGGTCTTTGAGCACAGATCTCCCCATCTCACAAATAGTCACGTGGTGTTTTCCTAAATGGATTAATCCAACCACAGCAGCCAGTGGCAGAAATTCACAGCAAGACTCTGTGCATGCAGCTTCCAAAACAAGGCACCCTTGGACCACAGGAAGCCACACCTTATATCTAGAATAGAGGGCAGCTGACACATCACACCCAGCTCCTAAGACAGGATCATGCTATTTAACTTTGAAGACCGAGGCCCCTTAACATCAGAAAACATTAAAATTTGGTACATTACTTTACCAAATAAAAATTCTGCTGTAGCAGCTCATGAAATAAGACAGCTCTTTGCCTAAGTTGAGTCCCGAGATCCATAAGAGTGCCGATGACAACCCTGCATAGTGTTCTTTGGTGACTTTATGGGATGGAATAAACTCACAACAAGCAGAAGGGCTGGGACTATTCCACTGCAGGTTAGGGAGGCTAGAGAAGGGCATCAGGTAGGATCTCAGTGTCTGGACAAAGAAGCCAGAGGCAGTGTTACCTGCAGGCTTTCTTCCAGACTAGGAGAATATCTGGGAAGTTGCCCTGGGGTGATGGCAAACAAACCAAGCTTAAGGTGCCAAGTAAAAGGAGGGGCATGCTGAGACCATTCAGTGCTCTTAAATGCCTTGTTCAGAGAGTTAGTTCAGTCTCACAGTGAGGTTTGAGCACAATTTCTTGTGGGCTGGACTGCCAAGGTGCAGGGAAAACTTCACAAACCTAAATGCATGAGAAGGAATGTGAAAGTTGTATAATTGCCATACTACCAGGCTGAGGGTACTACCCTGTCTCGTGTGATACTGAATACCCTTGGCAGGAGAGTGCTATCCTTTCCATGGGCTTCTCTCACCCCACAACAGAGTCAGTTTACCCTATTAGATTTCCAAAGCATGGAAAGTCTTATGTTAGGAGGAAACAGGCTTCTTAGCAAAGCATAAACTGCCTCAGATTCGCACAGTGCTGGCATGACAGCACTGACCTCTCTAAAACCACAACTGTGTAGAGGTCTCATACATCCAATGTGTGACAGGAGTCATGAGGCAAAGATCCGACTCTTCCTGCTAAGGTCTGATAGAGAATCAGTAAATTCTCCTGCACAGGGAGGGTGCAGGAAGAGGGCACAACTGCAGAAGGCAGGGAGAGCTATCAACACAGCTCCTGCATTCACAGGTCTCCGCCAGTGCTTGCTTGTGGTCCCTAGGGGGAAGGTACTGAGGTCAAAACTGCTTGAGTAATAAATTTAATTAAGCACTTTCAGCATGGGGCACGCAACACAAGGATTTCATGCTGCTGCCTCTCTTCCAAGCTTAGGCTTTGCTAAATTCAATGGGAATGAAATCTGCAATGAGAATGGTATTACTGGACTGTGCAGAGGAACAGTGTCTTCACAGGCTCTTTAAAGACAAGCATTGACCTATTTATAGCTGAGGAGATATTAAAGTTCCCTACTTTATAGGGAAGACCTACACACACCCTATCAAGGCTATCCTTGCATTCCTTGAATCTCAGCAAAATTCAAATATTAGGCAGTTAAGCACAGCAGGAGTTCTCAGCCCTTTTCACAAGTCACTCCTGAGCAGTGCTCTGGTGCTGGTGCAGTCTAGATAAGCAGCCTGACATTGGGGATGGCACAAACTGCTGTGAATATACAAGCAGAACTGAGCTTAAAATCCAAGCAGTCTGAGCACCTTGATGGTGGAATGGCACCCCACATTTATGGAACTTGTCAAGTCACTTCTAAAAGACTTCACATACATGCCTATCCAGGACACATACTTCTACCTACCCCAATGTGCTCACACCTAACTAGGAACCCCACAGCCTGAATCTCTCATAGCTCTGGTTTACTCTCTCAGCTCCAAGAGGCAATGTTAAATTCTTGCCCTTCAAACCACTTAATTTTTCAAAATTGTTATATTCCCCATTTGGCTTTTGTTTGAGCTCATTAAAAAAGCAATGGAGTTATTCCACCACTTACCAAATTTTAAAATTAATTTAGGTTTAACATTATTATAAATGGAAGAGCAATTGGCCTGAATCTTTGAAGAAAAGCTTTACTTACATTTCACATTTTTTATCTTGTCATAACCAAGAAAGTATTTCCTGCTGTTCTGATATACTAAAATTCCCTTTATTACACAAACACACATTTTCCAGACATCTCCACATGGCTGCTCCTATCTATTGCCCACTGGACAGTGGTGTGTGTGTTCACTTAAATAAAAGCACTGTGTTTTCCAGTACTTTGCATTTTTCTTCACACAAATCTAACCAAACAATTGTTAGACACACAGCCACCATCATCATCAGTTTGTGGACCAACTGCTGTCAGGAGTATATACAACTGAGATAAAATAAGAAAACTTGTATAGTGTAATTTAGAACAAAATTTGAGCTGGGATGGTCTAGTAATCTAAAACAGGATTACGCAGCAAGAAGTTGTGTCTTATAATTTTGTTTCTGATTTCATGACCTCGAGGAAGTCTTCAGCTTTAGGGTCCTTTTGCTAACCAGAAAGGGGAGGAGGAAGAATGTGTACAGCAAAGTTGGTGCTGCTGCTGAAGAATGACACTGGAATGTATTTGGAGAATCCTCATATGCTGAAGATTTTTTGGGGTTTTTTGCCTTTTTTTTTTCCCCCCAACATGTAGTCAATAATCTTGGAAAGGTTAATATTTAATATAATTTGTTGGATGACCAAATCTAGACAGAGGATAGAAATTAGTAACATATACAAATAATTTCCACATCCCTCTGTTACAACACATGCAGAGTTGACAAGAAAGGAAAATGGTATAAAAAGAGGAAACAAAGAAAATAAGTTAAACCTGTTGTTTCTCAAGTCATAGGGATATCGTGATCAAGCTATGAGGTTGTTACTTGAGAAATCCATCGTAACCTGATCACTGTATCTCTACAACCAGAACAAGACTTGTCTCTAGCACTAACACACACAAATGCATGCTTGTAACAACACTGCAACCATCAATCCTCAACATACTTTTTAGACATTTCATTTTATCCTTTAGCCCTGAAACACAATAAGTGGGATTATTGTACTTGTCAAGTGGTTGCTGTCATCAAAAATCAGTCTTACTTCATGCAAGAGTGATGTTTCTAAAATAACTTCCTCCCCATCCTCTACACATACAGATCTGAAGAACCACACTGCAGACAGCCAAAGGCAGATGGGAGTCTGAACTGTTAGATGACTGAAAGGAGGCTGTAGTGAAGAGTGTGTTGGCCTCTCCTGCCTGGTGACCAGCGATAGGACAAGAAGAAATGGCGTCAAGCTCCACCAGAGGAGGTTCAGGCTGGATATTAGAAAAAAATTGCTCACTGTAAGAGTGGTGAGGCATTGGAACAGGTTGCCCAGGGAGGTGGTGAAGGCACCATCCCTGGAGATGCTGAAAAAAGGGGTAGACATCGTGATTCATGAGAGGATTTAGTGGTTAGGGGGTGTAGGGTGGATGATCTTGAAGGTCTTTTCTAACCTTGACAATTCTATGACAGGTAATAGTGTCACTTTACATCCCTGTAACTAGCATGTGTAACACATCCAACTTTGCTGTACTTTTCCAGGATAGTAAGGAAGAAATTTGCTCTGAAACATACTCAGGGTCTGATAAAACATAGAGAGAACTAGGGGCCATCAGTTTTGAAATGTAATTTTGTCCTTCACACAGGCTTCCTTCAGAGCCTTGAGTATCATACTGAATAATAAAGGGTGGAAATAAGTTCATGGAGTTTATAAAAACACCATATTGATGACCTGGAGATGCTGCAGGGTAACATACAGTAAGGTAGCAGTCCCAGGGCCCTCTGGCATGTCAGAAGTGCCTCTGCCATCACTGCCTGCTCTTCTCTGCTACACAACCACTGCCAGCCAGGGCAGGACTTCACAGGAGAGCATACAGCCCCGGCTACATGTTTTGGAGCTGTTGCCTTACATACCTCCCAGTGATGTCAGAAATCCATGGTTAACAACGTGCACTGCAGGAGGGAAAGCAAATCACTAACAGATCACCGACAGATGTCATGCAGCCACACAGAACGAGATGTAGCTGCCTGTAACAGATCAAGCCCATACAGGGCACGCAAAGGTGCTCGGTAATTTAAGCAGTGAAGAAGGATGTCTCCTGCTTTCCCCTTCAGTCTTCAGCTCTGGTTTTAGAAACTGGTTCAGTACTAGACCCTAAACACTGTCCTGGAAGCAAAGTTGGCAGTGGATGAAGTTTCTGCTAACTTTGAGGAAAATGGGAGCCCTCTAGATGTGTTCTGAGAAAAACCGATGGTTGTCCTTCCTAATGTGTGAGAGTTTCAGTTTTACCTGTTCATATTCTGAAACAAACACATGCAACAACAATGCATTAAAATATCCACATTCCCAGCACCTACCTCCATTGGCCAGAAGATTTTCCTGGACTTTATCTTTTGAGTCTTCCATAACTTCTCCTATGTACTGGGCTATTTTCTTTATTACGCTTAGGTGTAACAAGAGAAGCTTCGTTAGTAAAGAAACAAAATGAACATAGAACAGTTGACACAATGATCTGATAAACATGGAGATGCCCAAAAAAACCACTTCTGAAGCAAGGCAGATTTGCAATTCAAGTGTTGATGAACAACCTATGGCATATTGCAGAACTAAATGCCTTATTTCTAAACACATCGATCTCCACAAACACATAGGTAATATTATCTCCTGAGTGCTCTAGACTTTTAGAAGATCAAGATTCAGTCTTCTGTACACTCCTGGTACTCATAGCAGAAACCAGACAGCAAGAAACCCATGTTTAAAACTCTAAATATGATGGAAGATTAAGAAGCTACATACAGACTAACACTGGCTGAAAATCTGTTCCATGGGATGCTAAATTAACCCTTGATATAAGGTTCTTACAAAGTAGTCAGGGGGAAATGACAATATTCTCTTAGTTGTCCTGGAGAATTTTGTTCTTATTCCTCTTCTTTGGGGGACTTTCTTCTCTTTAACAGGGTACACAAAACACTCCTTTAAGGTGTGGGAGAACTAGATTCCAAACCTCCTTCTGCCTGATTCAGAGCAGTGAACTGAACACAGCCCTTCCTGGAGAACATTGTCTCCACACAGTCACTTATATTTTTCTTATTTTAAAAAAGGGATTCATTAAGTCCCTCCAGCAGTAGATCCCCCTGGTCCTAGTAACAATGCTTATCTCATACAGAGCAAGCACCTTTCTGATTGTTTTAGCATCCCTCTGTACTCAGAAGTATTCACAGAACTTGGCCTTCATTTCCCTAACCACCCCAGCCTGAGGACACCTTGGAAAAAAAAAGCAGTAGCTAAAAAGTAACCACCTGATCATGACATTGGCAGAGACATGAAGTGGATATAATCCTTGGTGTCGTGATCTGGAATGGAAAATAATGACAGGCTTCTTCTCCCCTTTCTTCCGTACAGAGGGGAGACTACAACAGCTGCAGATGAGCTGGAGACTCGAATAAGTGAAGGTTTTGGACAACATGTCTTGTTACATCCTGTGTCTTTCAAAAGTTCAGAAAAGGGACTTCAGACTAGGTACAGATACCATGAGAGCATCAGAGAAAAGGATTTTCTATGATGTGCTACAAAGCAGATATACAAGCCATTTAAAAACAATATTTCATAGAGGCAAAGAATCCCTCTATTTCTATTCCTCTGAAGAAACTCACAGTCTTTTGGAAGGTTTTCCAGTCCTGTTATGGAGAGGAAAAATCTGAGATTGCTGATGCTGCCAAGAATGCAGTAGTCAGAATTCCTGCCGTTTGGAGTAATTTAACCTTGAGAAGAGAAGACCTTATAGAGGCCTTTCAATATATAAAGAGAACTTATCAAAGAGATGGAGACTTTTCACCTGCACCCATAGTGACAGGACATGTGGCAACAGTTTTAAACTGAAAGAGCATAGGTTTAGATTAGACATAAGGAAGAGATTATTTGTGATGAGGGTGGTGAGACACTGGAACAGGTTGCCCAGAAAGTTGGTTGATGCCCCCTCCCTGGAAACATTCAAGACCAGATTGGATGGGGCTTTGAGCAATCTGGTCTAGTGGAAGGTGTCTGCCCATGGCAAAGGGGTTGGACTACCTGATCTTTAAGCCCTGTTCCAACACAATCCATTTTTCTCATGACCCTGCACATGTGCAGTTCAGAATTCTACACCATTGTGCTCTAGCTCACAGCCCTCTTAGGGCTGCACAGTTTTCCACCATCTGGCTGCAGCCACCTAGGGACCTGGTGCCAGCTGAGCACTGCTGGAGAAAGCAGCCAACAGGAAAGTGTATAAACCCAGTAGCTTTTCCAAGGGGCCTGAGCTGCTTCTGTTGCTGTTGAGTGAAGCTGGGGGCTAACCTGACAGCTGGGACACAGTTGGTGCTGGTACCTCTCCAAAGGTATAGTCGGTGGGACAGGTATGCTCTGTCATGCACTCAACAGTCCCAGCTGTCCAAGTGAGGCCTGGTTCACTTCCAGCCCACATGCCCCAAGGTCCCTGCAGGCAGGATGCAGACACTGGGGGAGAGCAATGTTCTCCAGTCCTGGCTTTGTCTCCATGCCTTGCCTTGCATCCTGTGAAATGCAATCAGGATTCACTCATCCTGCACATTCCCCTTGCAAAGACAGAGCAGGTGCCCTGTGCACCACTGATGCCTGCCTGAGGCAAGCAAGAGGAATGAGAGGAATCAACCCATGGACATGAAACAGAGAGCAGCGTTCACATCCAACCCTTAAACCTCTGCCTTTAGATGAGGTGAGTGCCACCATGAGCGATATCGTGCTCAAGTGATGCGTTATAAAAGGAGACAGTTTCAGCTAAACTGCCTTGAGAAGTAGTAATAAAAACCTGTAAAGAGAATCATTCCATTTAGCTTATTTTTACTGCTTGGAAGACTCTCCCATTTTGCTTCTGAAATTGCTGCCATGTCATTACAAAGAAAAAGAAAAGGAATAGAAAAAAAAAGGAAAAAGGAAAAGGAAAAGAAGGAAAAGAAAAAGGAAAAAGAAAAGGAAAAGAAAAGGAAAAGAAAAACAAAAGAAAAAAAAAAGAAAAAGAGAAAGAAGAAGAAAAAGAAAGAAAAAGAAAGAGAAAGGAAAAGAAAGAAAAAGAAAAAAAGAAAAAGGTCTAACACTCTTCAAATTGTACCACGTATTAAAGGCTGCTACCAGCTAGGACTCCAAAATAGTGTGGGGAGCAGCAGTCCTGCAATCTGAGGCCACTGCAGAATGCTCTGTGGACCCCTGCTTGGGAGAACCCCCTGGTAAGAGTGACTGGGGGGACTGTCAGCTTGAGAGAGCTCGATGCTACCACACGGTGACATGGAAAAACACTCCACCTCCCTGTGTAAATAAATAATAAAAGTATGTGGAAACAATAGATCCTGCAAACTCTTGCCCCTTCTCTGCTGTCCTGGCAGGAGGCAGCGCTGACAGGTTTGTGCTGCCTGGCTTTACTGGCAGTTGTGTTTATCTAGCAACAGTTCAGC